GGGCAATAACAGCGAACAAACTCGCAGTCAACTCTCATCCAAGCGTTCCCGTTTCGGCTAGATTACTACCGCCCCGGACTTCTGGGAACATAAACGCTGTAAGAACGCGGGACTATCCCAAGAGTAGAAGTTATATTGTGGAAATTCACAGTTTGCTTCATTTCATGCCATTTGAAGTGACACATGTTTTTGTAGGCAAATATGTGGGTTATAGTATTCGTAATTACCATTCTCGTTTTAACCTTAATCATACTTATATTAATATGTATGAAGACGTACCGTAAGCTGAATGAGGTGAATTTTGGGATGTTTCACCAAACGAATAAATTCCGAGTTACGATTTTCCCGCTTAGGTCCATACTGAGAGCGAAGAAGACAATGTTGTCAAACTAAGTTTTCCTCTGCCTCCTCCAGTTGGGGATTTTGACGATATGGACGAAACACAATATGATCACTTGGCAGTACGGGCATTTCGACACCACGAACTTGGAGGTGATTTGCTTGCTTCTTTGTCCTGATAACTCAATTCTTACATCCTTGTTCCAGGGAGTGAGGAGGCTAGATTTGAAAGGAAGGAAGACTATGTGCCCGATGTGCCTCCTCGAAAAAATAAAATGAAACAAATTTTAGAGGAACAAAATCAAGCATCCAAAGAGTAATCTTAAGGCTGCTCCTTCTCTTAATCAATCAAATTAGATCATCAATTGGCACATCAATGCTGTAGAGAAGTGGAAAAATAAACTAAATTTGCAGAAACTAATTGCTAGTTTTTCGAGTTTACACAAAACAACTGTATTCCCTTCTAAGTCTATCATATGCTAAACTCGCGAAAAACAGTAGGCGTTTTGACGCACTCCAGCACATTTTACGGATAAGAATAGGATAACTTTACTTGCAAACTCTGTAGTGAATGCAACATATTCTCAACTTCTGAAAAGTGGCTAAGGAAACATAGTCATCTATAACATTTCTATCGTTTAAATTAAGAGCAATTCTCATAAAATAAGACCATTATTCTAAAATTCCAGAGGACCCCGTTTTCTTTTCGAAGCCCCACCTGCCTACGACGAAGTTGATAGCGTTACCACTGCCCAATCTGGAGAGCGAAGAAGAATGGTTTCGATAAAAATGCCCGACCTGCCAATAGTAAGTTCCTAATCTTCAAAGGCCTTCTACAAATCAAATTGATGGGATTCTGCAGCGAAAAGTTGGGGACACGCAAATACTCGAACGTTGTGTAGCACCTACTCAAAC